ACGTAGTGAATTGAATCTGCCAATACACAACCAAGATCTGGTTCTGGAATAACAGAAATGCATGATTTTAATGAAATTTAGCATTAAAATTGTAGGCGTTCAGCCATCTTGAATCAAATGACAAAACGAATGCATTTGCATATGTATGATGTATTATGTATGCGCAAAGTTCGATATGAACAGGAAAGACATGTCAGAAATATTGCCCATTTGCTGTTTTGAATCCAATCTGCAAAACAAAGTGACATGCATCATGGTCGGGACAAAGTTTGAATAAAAACCACACATGTCTGACTGAGATCTGATTTTGGAATGACAGAAATACTTAATTTTGATGAACGTTTAACATTAGAATGACCTCCATTCAGTCATCTTGAATCAAATCCCAAAAAGAATGCACAGGCTTATGTGTTACAAGATGCATGATGGGTGTGTAAAGTTTGAATGAGATTGGCCCCATGCACACATAGCGGTCCATTTTTGGACTTCATTCACAAAGACTAATCAGCATATGCTACAATGATCAAACATAACAGTATCATAGTCACGAGATTGTGTTTTTTGCTAATAATAGCTTTGTTGTGTTTTTGGACAGTTTGCACAATCGGACCAAAACGCATTTATTTATGCAATAAATGACCACAGTAAACAAGATTCATATAGTTACAAAAAATCTGTTTGTGCTGAAGTTAGCGCTCTATTCATATTCTGTCAAGTAGGATTTGAATTCACAGATTAATAATTCATATCCGTTCCTTTGTATTCATTTATATTATATTGATTTCTTTGATTGATTGATACCTTTTCAGCGTTATCCCAGACTGAAATTTCACCAAGGAATTTTTCAGGTCTTGTAGACAACACAAGGGTGAAAGTAAAACCAAAGGTGTCGTAAACACTTTTCAAGAAATTCAAACAGCCTTTCATTTCATCAACAATCTGCAAAGACAAAATAAAAGAATATCATGTAGAATACAGAACACCCTAGGGCACTAATTAGTTTATATAAAATTGCAATATCAAATATATCTCAAGAAAAACATGAACAGCTGTTCTCTGACAGCATCCAGGCATTTTCACTGCCTGGCAACCATCACCAGTGAAAACAAAAGACGAGAATTCTCAGGAAACGGTACTTCAGAATAGTTGTTGAGACTCTCCTGAACAGTATAAGAAGATTACCCCTACATGTGCAACATATATGAATTTGGTTGTTCAGGATTACGTCAAAGTTTATTTTGTGGTGTTTCCTCGACTTTAGCTGTTTGCACCTGTGTCTCGACCGGCGTTCCACAGCAGTTTGCGCATAGCTCATAGAAATACGCCAACGCAACATAGAACGTTCTGTCATGTAGCTCCACCCCAAGAATACTGTAAATTTCTTTCATTTAAGAGAGATAAATGAATGCAACTAAATTGTGTATATTCAGGGTGTAGACAGCATATTTTATTAATAAATTAGCGGCACACCGTAATGGCTACCAACCGATGACAATCCTATCATACATTATCCAATTTTAGTTCCAAACGTTATCAACAATATTGTGTTATTGCCATGGATTACTATAGCAATGAACATACCTGTTCAGACATACAGAATATATGGGCGTCATCCTGTTGAAATCGACGAACTCTTACAAGACCAGTCAGTGCTCCCGACAACTCATTACGATGCAAAACACCAAAATCAGCCATACGATATGGTAATTCTCGCCATGATCGAGGTCTGGTGTCAAATATTAAACTACAGGATTGGAAGAAATGAGAGCATTTCATGACAGTTACACGTAATGGAGAGAAAGAACAAACACAACTAACATGACTTTGGTTCAATACAGTACTCGTCTGACTTAAGCACCCATGCTCAACTTCTGTTTAGTCATAAAACCTGGTCTTTGATCATTGTTTGATTTTTTCAAATATCCATAATAAAATTCATATATAATACAGTGTGGA